CAGGACTTTTTTCTTCTTTTCATTCTTTTTTATTTAAACTTTTAACTTAAAACATGTTCAAAACAATACAAGAATGAAGCAGCACAAATCAGCAATCCTACAATATAGTCCTACCCAAGAGGATAATGTGAACAAATCACAGACAAGTAATCACAATGAAAGGAAGTAGGAAGTGTCCTGACCTGTGTACCGGCAATGGGTAGGGTTGGGGAATACAGTAAGCATACATGCATTCATACCATAACAATATACAGAATGAATATAACTACAAAGACTTCCAAATAAAATCATATTTCAGTGGAATGTGCCAACCATGTGTTTGCTTTGTCATATATGTCATGAAGAGCCACCAGGTGGCCTATCCTTCAACAGGTTCCTTGGCAGCTTATAAAAAGTTAGTATTAACAGCTTTCCTAGCATGCAAACTAATTAAATCAAATCTCAAGTTTCACTTCTGTTTTTCACAACACTGTTTTAAGTAGCAGTTACAGGACCATGTTCAATACAGGGACAAACTTGTAGAAGGAACAATGGGTAATTCATTAATTGGCAGTGTTGAGGCTACAGCATGTTCTAAGAAGAGTTGCAACCTGCTTCCATCTTTTTCAGTCCAAAAAAGCTGAAACCATTGACAGATGCCTTGAATACTGTGGGAGCACCACCTTCTCCACTGAAGGCCAAGCTGTCTAGAGAGTGACTCCATGAACTCCAAAAACATTTGGACTTAATTCCTTCTTGTCACACATCTCTACATTCTTAATGGCGTGTTTCTAGGTATGCATATGTAAGACTTATTTGAAATGTGATCTTCCTCCTAGATATCCAGTGTATCTATAGACCTTCAATTACTGTTAATTGTTAATTACTGTTCTTCCATCTAACGCATCAGCATAAATCCCTACTAACATTAAAGCAGTTGAATTGTAGGGGGAAACAAATTATAGATACTGGGTGGCTGTACAGTGCTGCAGCAAAATGAAATCCAATACCCCATCCATTAGCAGAAACAGAGTGTTGTCAGTTTAGACTACTCAAAGTGATAACCAAAACCAGATATTTATTACCACTCCAATGCATTTAATCTCATGAAACTAATTCCAGTGGATTTGTGGCTACAAAGCTGTCTAATCATTTATGAATTGTTTAAAACTTTCTAGCAAAATTGGATATTTGATAAATTATGAAACTTTTAGAGTATACCTCCAATGACACACAGAGGCTATTGCTATCATCAAAAGAAGCTTGCAATTGATTTGAAGACTTTGTGCCTATAACAATGAAGAGAAAAACTCAGCAACTGTCAAAATGTGATTATTCCCTCAAGTATATATAAGTTTCTAACACGCTGGAACACGTTATGCTTGAGATGCTTGTTTAAAGAACTGATCACAACCAAGCAAATGCTCAGTTCTTTGTGCTCAGCGCTTTCATTAAACTTAGTACATGTTACCGTAGCTCAGGGATGTAGAATTCAAGTGTGAACAATATTTTTACTAACACGTGAGGGCTGTGTCACTATTTTTACCAAAGAAAAGTCTTTTTCTTTCAGTTTTTTTATTTCTTTAAACCATTCTGTTAGTCCCCTTTTCTCTCAGCACCCCACAACATAATTTATCTTCTCTCTGCATACCCTGCCTTCTTTTCTCACTGCACCTTACAGTGTGCATGCTCTCCCTCGCTGCTTTTTGGAGTAACGGGAAAATGCACTAGAATGTATGGGATAACAACTTATTGATGCAGTGCTATGTAGCCTCCCCATAAACAAATCAGAATGGATGCTCAATAGAGTTGAAGTCTTTTAACCTTGCTGCAAACTTTTTGCAAACAAATCAGGATGAATACTCAATCAGGTCACTGGAAGTGACATTTTTATACAACCCTTCCCCCCCACAACCGAAAGAAAGGGTGTGTGTTACCCATGTCTTTTTTATAGTTTGCTTATCCACAGGTCTCTCTACAGCTGCATTCATATTATTCCCCTCTTTTCCTCCTAACACACACCCCCAATCTCCACTCTTGCTGGAGTTCAACAGCACCAGCACACTCTACTAGTGAGTCATACAATGAGGCAGTGTGTCTTGGGTTCAGCTGACCATTTCAGTGATCTGCTGCCTGATTTTCACAGCAGGGACAGAAGAGAGCTTAAAGATAATAAATGCCTAGTTTCCTCCCTATCCAGTAAGCTAGAGTATGTTTCTGGATGTAAAATAAGAAAGCAGTTCTGGTTGCACTTTGCCGTGTTATGAACTGCATGGGGCTTATATGGGAGGAAGGATAGCATAGAAACACTACCACCACCACCATTAATACTACTACTACTACTACTACTACTACTACTACTAATATGCTGCAATTAAGGGGTGGTTTTTTGTTGGTTTCTTTGGCTGGTGATATGTGCACCACTGCCACAGCCTCTCATCTTACTTAGCTCAGCTCCAAGGCACAAAAACTCATTCAATGCAGGGTCCTCACAGAAAGGACGTAAAAGCTACTAAAGTGGAAACAGCAGAAGCTATACATTGACCTGAACACAGAAGTTCAAGAAGCAATTTGTCCCAAAGTAGGTAAAGGTACCCCTGCCCGTACGAGCCAGTCTTGACAGACTCTAGGGTTGTGCGCTCATCTCACTCTATAGGCCGGGAGCCAGCGCTGTCCGGAGACACTTCCGGGTCACGTGGCCAGCGTGACAAGCTGCATCTGGCGAGCCAGCACAGCACACGGAACGCCGTTTACCTTCCCGCTGGTAAGCGGTCCCTATTTATCTACTTGCACCCGAGGGTGCTTTCGAACTGCTAGGTTGGCAGGCGCTGGGACCGAGCGACAGGAGCGCACCCCGCCGCGGGGATTCGAACCGCCGACCTTTCGATCGGCAAGTCCTAGTCGCTGAGGCTTTAACCCACAGCGCCACCCGCATCCCATAATTGTCCCAAACTAACTCTAGTCTATTTAACAGCCCAAATTCCTGTGCCAAAGCGAGCCATGTTGAATTCAGTGAATCACTGAGGTTCACTTATCAAAGCACTAAAAGAGATGTGTAGCTATAATATCACCAGGTAAAGCTCTTGAGACCAAAAAAGAATGATTTATAGGCCCTGGCAGTGCTTTTTCCTGGGGGTACTCAAGTGTACGCAGTGCCAGCACAATTTTTCCTAGAAGAAAAGCACTGGTTAAATGTATAGCACTAACTGTAACAACTTCATGTGAGTACAGGCGCCTTTTTTTCTAGAAGAAGCACTGGGCCCAAGAGAGAGGCAAACTGTAAAGCTAGCATCCCTTCAGCCTTCACAAGGGCACCTTTATTGCATAAATTACTACATCTCTATGTTGCAATGACATTCCAGGAAAAGGTAAGTTGTCACTCCACTTGCGTATGACCAAAGTCATTATCCCACATGAAAGAAAAGAAAATTGAACACAGTCTAAAACTAGATCTAGCCAACACAAACATAACAAATCCGACTTTTATAGGTAAACATTTGAGGGTGGCAGCTGGTCAGAAGAAGTCTGGGCAAATTGTTTTCCTAGTTTCTTTTGAAGATGTGTGAAACCCATTCTGGTTCCCTTATACTGAATTAGACTTGTTGCACATTTTAGTCCTGCAACTGGTCTTTCTATTTATATAGCAGCAGAGCCTGTGGAATGAAAGAGTACCCTCATCACCCTCAGCCTGTTATAGACATATTCTCCCAAATCAAGAAAGAATTGATTTTGACATTGTTTTAATACCTATATTATTCCTATAACTCGACACATTACAGAACAGCAAGTATATTTGCCGCTAGGTGTACCTATGGCAGGGAACCATGCCCAGTCCCAGCTCCCTAGCACACATCTCTGCGTAATACCTGCATTTACAAACATGGATTTTTCATACGCATGCGATACACTTTACTGTATGCACACAATATAATATGCAAAGTGACCCTTGGTTTCAAACTATGCCCATATATGGAAGGTATATGCAGTTCCTAGTACAATGTTGGAGCCTGCTAGCAGGTACTCAATCGCAATGTAGAAAACAGCATACTAGTAGCAGAATTTTCTAATTGCTTTTAGTTTTTCTATTTAGGAGTAAGTAATTCATAAAATATATTCATACTTTCTGCCATCAGGTTTCTATTGAATTCCTTGTCAATATTACTAGAGCACAACTTTTAACTATTTCTCTGTGAAACTGTTTCCTAATGCGAGTTGCAAGATGCATCGTTTGAATGAATAGATCACAGATAAGGTAAAGGACTCAGAAAATTGCTTTTAATTCTGTCACAGACTCTTGTAATTTCACTTTGCCCCAGTTCTACAATAGGCATGCTGTAAGGGTAAAAGCTATAAAAGACTTAAGATAGTAAATAATTTGATACTATAGTGATAGGTGCACATGGTTAGATGGAAGATAGTGCACCAATTGCATCATTTCCATATCCTTATCTGATGCAGGTTTTTAACAAAATTGGGCTGTGTTACATCACACACAAGTTTCTACAGCATAATGAAGTATTTAGGTCTGCACTGTGCTATACAATATGTGAAACAAAATCATTGCAGAAACATGAGTATTTATTCTTTATCCAACAGAGCCAACTTGTTTTTCTTTTGAGTAGCTGATAATTACGGCCATTACCTTGTGTTCCTGTATCACATTAGATCAGCAGAATGATCCAACTATTCCCTCAACTACCTTGCCTCTAACAGTGATGGGAAGGTTCTGTAATTCACCAGGTTGGTAAGTACATAGCAATGTTTTGAAGCATGCTACCATACAAAATGTGGGGTAAACAAACCCTTCTAAGGTTCCAGCATGCAGATCAATACCATTTACTGGTCTTAAAGAATGAAACTCTAAAAGTTGTTTCAAAGGGGCTTTGAATTCTAGCTACATCTTACACTAGGTCAAATAACCATATTTGTATTGCCCCTTAAATATGAAAAAGAGACTTACGAGTAGTAGTGGAGATTTGTGTCAGGGTCAAGTTTCAACTGTAATAAAAAGGGTTGCTTACCTTCAGACAGAGAGAAGTCATCAGCTGGAGACAGCAGGTCTGCCTGTACAGCAAGGCCATCGCTCAGCCACGTGGTAATCTGATTCGTCAAGATAACCTGCAAACAGACATGGAGAAGGAAAAAGTATTAGAATTACAAGAAGAATATACAGTGGTAGCTCAGAGAAGAATTGGAATGTATATAGGCAGACAGGCAACCCTCAACACCCACCCTAATTTTCAACCACTTCAATTCCTTCCTAGAAATGTTGGATCAACTATAGTAGCATCATAATAGACTGCTGCAGAAAGCAAATCCTTTCAAGCAATCTTTTCAGATTACTTATGGGCTTCACATTACACCTCCTATCTCCCAGGTACGAGAAAGGGATGCCTTTGTTGAAAAGGAGTAATGGTACAGAGAAAACAAGTATGTAGGAGCCAGGATGGGAAGTGATGAGTGTTTAGGGCCCGGTTGGTGCGGGTGTGCATAAAATTCAAAAAAGCGAGTAAGAAGGCAGTTTAAGAGCCAGATGGGTATAAACAATGAGGATCCTGGAATATCTGTTAAGCTTAAAATATAGGGTGATGCATGACTTCAAAAAAATCGGACAGATTTAGTGAATGCGACAAACTGAATTGGGCCACCTCATCATTTCAAGTGCTGTATAGAGCCAGTGAGGTAAGATGACATTGCTAGTCCCAGTCAGTCTGGGCTCAAAACAAATAAAGAATAAAATACCATGGAAACAAAATATTAGCAGAGCTATCCCATCTTTGTAGATCAATGTTAGAGCACCTACTTTGTATGCAAAATGTCAAAGGCCCCTGGTATCTCCAGCTGGGGCAGGGAAAGCCTCCTGTCAAAGCTTGGAGAGAACTGCTGGTCAGTGTAGACATCACTGAGACAGATAAATCAATGGTCTGGTTTGGTGTAAGAATTGCTGCTACCATGACAGTCTGGAGCACCAAATATTTCCATGTTGTCTATCCAAGAGAGTGATTCTGTCAGGATCTATCAGGATTCAGGTTAGAAGCTTTCTGATCTATTATGCACTGGGGTCCCATCTGCTGTTATGCACTACAGATAGAGCAAGAAGGTGGAGTATTGTTTTCTACATGGCTCCAGCACATAGCTATCAACTTCTCCCTTTTCTTGCGAGGAATCCTATTCGGAATAAGAGAATTTCCCTTAAAAAAAGGGAAACGTTGACAGCTATGCTCAGGCACCTCACCACCAGTTTCCTCTTGAGCAATCCTGGCTATAAAATGTATAGTGTAACTAATTCTAGCTCATGCCTGAGCCTTTGCCTGGGCAAAAAAACCAGACTCTATTCTGAACATGACTTCATAGTTGTGCATCTGTATTTCTGCCAGGCTTACTTGTCCCTCCTATAGCTTCGCGTCAGACTGATCCTCTGTCAGGTTGCCACCTTCTTAGCATGCCTGTACCAGCCTACATGCTTGATCCAACCCCTGCTTCTGTGGTAGGTAGTGTACAGAGATGGAATAAAGAACAGTTCAATATGTTATGTGTCTGCAGTGTTGCAGGCTGATCATCCTTTTGGTCTGGAGGAGGCAAGATACCTTGCTTTATTTAAAGAGATCAAACAGCGACACACACATATTATAAATTTGTAAGGCTGTTGTCATGCTGCAGTTTCCTTGACTACCAATAGGTGATCAGGGAAACTCCAGCATAGTGGCAGAATAGCAGGCAGGCAGACGAGAAGCAAGCAATATAAGTGACAGGCAGCCCAGGTGAAATGGCAGACGGAAGCACCCCTCTCCTCCCATTAAACATCACTGGAGCGGCATTTGGAGGATAGGTGGCGCTTTACAAGAATGGTTTGCCAACCTGCTCTCTGAAGCACCTCACACAGGTCACTTTGGGATGTGTATTTGTTTATCAACAATGCTGAACTAAGAGCTACCCTGACAGCTACCACTGAATCTACTGAATGATTGCCCATTTTTGTTACCATGAGATGAACCACCTCTGCTAGATGAAGTGGCTAATTGGATAATGTACCACCAACAACAATTAAATTGAACAATGTAATTCACGAGTTTGATGAGATAATACAGACATGTTATATATGTAAACATCAGAGCCCCATAGGCTAACCAATGAAAGAAAAAAGGGCAAGAGTAGATTGGTATTGGGGGATGAACAGGAAGTTCAAAGCCCAACCAGAACTTTGAAGCCCTAATTTTACCAAACCTTCCCTGCATAACAATATATTAAACATGGGCTAAGATGGTAATGTCCATTAAGTATACTATATAGCCTTTTACACTCTCAGAACATCTTTCGTTTTGTTTAGACCAGTGATGGCCAAACTTGGCCCTCCAGCTGTTTTGGGACTACAATTCCCATCATCCCTGACCACTGGTCCTGTTAGCTAGGGATAATGGGAGTTGTAGTCCCAAAACAGCTGGAGGGCCAAGTTTGGCCATCACTGGTTTAGACTCTAATGTAAACCCTTTAAGTCTAGAGTTGCTACAGATATCTGAAATCCAAACTGCATTTCACCACAAATTTTCAAGTTTACCTAAAAAAATCCACTACAGATTTCTCTGGGTTCCTGAAGGTCTCCAAATTAGCTATGCTTCATGATGTATTTGTGCAATAGTGAAGCAATGCTTAGAAGCTGCTCCTGCTTGGCACAATTGAGGTAATTTGCACCACCCACACTAAGTTGGAGGTCATGGAAAGAAGGGCCCAGTTCATGCCCTACATTTACAGGCTCCACAAAAGGCTTCATACTGTATTACAGTGTGGTGTGCTGGTTTGACAGCCACGGACAGGAAGTCCCTACAGAGGGTGGTGAATACAGCACATATCATGGGCTGTCCCCTGAGTTCGCTAGATGACAGCAGGAGACCGCTGCCTCAGGAGAGCGAGGAAAATTCTTAGGGACGACTCACACCCCGCCCAGCACCTCTTTAATCTCCTACCTTCAGGCAGGAGATACAGAAGTATAGTCAGCCGCACCAACAGGTTAAAGAACAGTTTTTATCCGTGGGCTGTTGGGCTGCTGAATGAAAAAAAATAGTGGTGTAATTGACTTCTGACAAGCACACAGAGCGTGAACAAGACTGAGTGTATGGGGGGGGGCTCATTTAATTTCACTGCACACAGGTGGTGTAGTGACAATAAAGGCTTATTATTATTATTATTATTATTATTATTATTATTAGCACGTGAGTGTGCTTGTCCCAAACCCCAGCGTACTCTGAGGTAAGTCCCAATAGTGCTCACAGTCTTGAGGGCAATGCTAGAGATGAGTCAGATGCTCAAATACAGCTTCAGGTCCAATGCAATGAGAAAGTTTCTAAGTCAGCCCAAAAGACCAGGTTCCTGTCTCTGAAAAAGATCCAGGGTTGGAATCCTAGTCAGTCGCAAAATCAAAGTCCATTGGAGTTCCCAAAACAACTGTGGACCATCAGTGGTGAAAGTTCAGCAAACAAAGAGTTGCTACCTTGCTTCCCTTTTATCCTGCCAATCTTGTTTGATGCACCTGAGCTTGTTCCAGCTGAGTAGCTGTATCTCTCCCCTTAATGAAGCATGTGATCATAGGCGCCGACTCCATGGGGCTTGAGGGGGCCCGAGCCCCCTCAAAAATTCGTTTGGGGGGCTCCGCCCCCCCAATAATCTCCGGCGCCCCTCCAGCAGAGCGCCATCGCCGCCCCTCCCCCAGCCCAAAATGCACAGGGAGGGGCGGGCTGCATGCCTCCTGCCCTCCCTCCCGAGCAAAAGCTCCACCCAATTTCCTTTGGAGCTGATTAATAGGCGCAGCACGCTCTCCCCTATTCGCTCACGAGGAGGCGGCGCCACTTTATTTGCATATTCATGAGCTTATTTATTATTCATGAGCTTTCCCGGGCCCCCCCAATATTTTTTATAAGTCCGCGTCCCTGCATGTGATCCTCACCTGTCTTGAGCCTAATCAAGCTAAGTGGCCACAAACCTCCTCCTGGTCTTAACAAATCCCATGATCTTCACCTGATCAACTAGTAAGCTAGGCTGTGGTCTCTCGCCTGCCTCAGTCTCTTAAAAGTGCACTTCCCGCAGAGTCCTCGTGGCTCACGAGGAGACCCTCCCCAGAGCCCAAAGAGAATGTCAGTGAAGGTGGGGGAAAGTCCCAAAGACACTGGAGGTACAGCAGGGCTTTGTTTATGCTGCTCAGCCTCCCTGCCTAACAGCAGACACTTTCTCACATGTCCTCCAGCCTCCTGCCAGCACCAGAACTTGAATTCTAGTTGTGGGTATTTTGGGTGTGGATTGAAGAGAAAGTGGTAGAGTTCGCGTTTAGAGGGTGCTCCCCACTTTACGCGATTTCATTTATGCACTCAGGAGCCTGGAACGTAACCACCGTGTAAGAGGAGTCACCTATTCACCTATTCCATATTCACATTGGTTTAATGGGATTAGGACCACAGCAGATTCAGCATTGAAGCAGTCTCCATTGATAGCAGTATGCCAGTTCCAGATTCAAAATCCTAATGCAGAGCCAAATAAGATGGAAATGTTAAGCAACATCCAACAGAAACAGATGTGAAGAAGAGGAATAGGACATATTTGAGATTAATGTACATGTCTGTGCACACTTACACATTATGGCATGGTATAAAGTTTTTATTGGCAGATATTTGCACTGACTACATTATTCACAAATGTCAAAAGAACCCATGAGTGATGTGGTCATCCCACATTTGCTCCACTATAAACATTGCACTATGCCATTGTGTGCTTTTTGTGTTCAGTGCCTTTCTGTGTTCAGTAGGTTGTTTGTTTGTTTTTTGAAAGCACACTACAAAATCAACAATTTAAAGTGCCTAACATAAGACACCAATATACAACTACTTTGGTTTAAACACACACTTTGTGTAAATCTGTAGTCCCTGGCGTTTCAAGAAGAAAGGTGTCCCAGAAACTGATTTATGACTGCTTCTACAGAAAGGAATAAGCAAGCTATTTTTGCAATGCATTTTCTCAAATACATCTTCTGCCCTCCCCAGGACCACACTGAAACTACTAAATATTACTCTGTCATCCTTGTAAAACTAGTTGAGTAAATAAGGCATTTTCTGTAAACTTGTGGTCTCAACCTC